GCAGCTTCCCCAGAAAAAGAAAGTATATACGAAGTTGCACCTTTGGTTTGCTGTGTTTTGTGGGGTTTTTTTTTCTTTTCCCTGCTGGAATATCTTTCATTTTTAACACAGACTGGTTGGTCAAATTCTCAAAACACAGAGCAATGCCGTCCGGCACTCAGAACCGGAGAACTGCAGGTCATTGGCACTGCATTTGTCTAGTTCATTTGTATGTTTCACGCAATCATTTTAATGTCAACAGCTTTTTCCCCATCATTAGACAAGTATTTCTCCTTATTCAGTCTCTGAAGGGGAAATCGTTATACAGTGTACATTTGCTACTCCGTTCATTTTCAACACCTTTTGCACCATGATATACTGTAGAGCAGCTGCACGCTTTGTGGTAAAGTTCAGTCAAACTAAACTGTGATACAAAAAAATTACTTTAAGGAAGTAGATGTTGATCCTTTGGCAGCACAGAGCAGTAGGTCAATTTCTAGTTAAAGAGTTACTGAAGTGGCAAAGATGCCCTTACAGCAGTAGACATCTATTTACATTTGATACGCTTTTTACTTATCCAATTTATGCTTTTTACTTAGCCAATTCACTCTGGAAATAAAATACATTTACATTATCGGTAACTGAGTACATAACATATATACAATGAGTGTGTACACACACAGTTTATAACCTAGGAACAGCGGAGTCAAAATTACTGATGAGACAACTTTACTTTTGTCAAGTTTAACAAGAAAAAATAAATACGGCAACTTTCTTACTTTATCCAGCTAGATAACAGGATATTTCAGCTCCTGGAGGGACTGCGGATTGATTTTTGTGGCAAAGATGTGTGCAAATTACACTAACCTATTGGTGAATGGGATTCTTTCGGCATGGAGTGTTACCGTGAAATGATTTCAGAAGGCCCTGCTGAAGTCACAAAGCACGGAGGTACTGCTAGGCCTTCTGTTCAGAGCGGTGATTTGTATGCACCGTTGTGTTCCACCGCTAAAGCAGGATTTGGTTCAGATGGTTAATGTAGTGCTACAGTAGTCGAGATAATCCAGTTCAGGGCAGAAACCATTCACCTGGCCCGGCTCTCAACAAATACTCAAACAAACGGGGAAAAAAGCATGCAGTTAGTTATTTTAGGCGCCAAGGACAACGCTTTTTTCTGCCCTTTCCTGTCTTGAGAGCTAGGCCAACTAATCTTGTGCAAAAGTAGAGGGAAGACAACAACGGCACAGAGCCAAAGTGGGACCCTGCCTTCTGACAAAGGAAAAGAAAACCCTCTGGATCTCTCTGAGCGGTCACCGGCAGCACCAAGGAAAACCACCGCGGCTTATTGAGATGCTGCCACCATCACTTCCCAGCCACGGGCCGCCGCGGTGCCCGTTGACATCCACCCTCGTCCTCGAGCTTTTCCCAGCCCCACAGATTGTGGCAGAGCGCCTGCAGACACGGTCCCGCTCCC